AGAGAGAGAGAGAGAGAGAGAGAGAGAGAGAGAGAGAGAGAGAGAGAGAGAGAGAGAGAGAGAGAGTACTAATCGTGATCTAAAGTGTGAGACATGCAAGTGGATGCTGGGACCGTTCTCCCAGGCGAAAGAATACCAGGCAAGCATGTGCTGCTCCCCATGAATAGATTTGAGCCACACAAAAAGTGGACCTGGATCAGGTCAGGTCTTGAACCTCTACCAGATGGAGGTGTGGCATATGGTGTTTTCTGAAATTCTGAAGGGAAAAAAAAAGCATCTGTGTCGAAAAGGGGTTGCTGTGGCAATTGATTTCTTAAACACGGGCGGACAAGGGGGGTTGCTGTGGGTGATTGTTTAAAAGTTATTTTTAAACACAAACTGAAACATCTGTAAACACATGGGGTTGTCTATTGGTTGTAGTGGACTGAAATTTTATTTTTTTTTATTTACGTTTTTTTTTCGTTTGTTTACTCCGGATTGATTCCTTTGGTTGTTTCTCTGTCTGTTACTTTCTTTTTTTTTTTTCCCCTTCTCTCTCTGCCACGCTGTGCTATTTTCAAGCAGATATTGGATTTTCAAAAACAGGAGGGAAAGGACCTCACACAGATGCCGACAAGGCGTTCTATGGAGCGTGCAGGTAAGCACTTTCGACGTTTAGAGCATACTCATGCTAGGATTTTTCCCACTTCTCTGTGGATGTACTGCCTCCCAGTGTGTATGGCGGCTATGGCCTCATCTCGCCTGACTACATTCGACGTCAGCGAACAGAAAAACATTCCCCCTCACCCTCTTCCCCTCCTCCCTGCTCGGGCCCTGTGGCAGGTCCACTTATTATTAATAATAAAAAAATGGCATGAAAGATTAAAGCTTAAGTGAACATTAATATATATCCTCCTTCGTCTGGGTATGGCTTCTACCCCCACCTTCACTGCCAAACTAGACACACACATTCTCGCTCTCCAAGCCAGACTCTCTGTGGCACTGATCTATCCACGCTACCGCAATAGTATCCTATGCTCTGTCTAACCATCTCCGGTCACAATGTCTTTCTTCTGAAGTAGTATGGAGATGGAGTCTCTCCTTCTCCCATCATCACTGCATTGCCACCTTGAAGCTATGGCAACCTTCCCTCTCATCCCTTGATCTCACCAGCACCAGCATCTCTCTCTCTCTCTCTCTCTCTCTCTAACACGCGTGCGCGCTAAGGGGCAACCTGCTACGTGCACTCCCGCCAACGCCGCTATCCTACGCATGTGAGGTGTCTCTCGCGGTGGTTCCGACGCATGCTGCAATGGTCCCTGTATCATCCATTTCTGATTTGCCACCACAACACTCTCGTCCTGCCCCTGCTTGCTCATCTGCTGCTACAGTGAAGGCCACTGCAGTTTTTTTCCCCCCCCAAAAAACACAAGCCTCTTCTATTTCTGGGGGGCAGCAGTCCGGTTACTTTTTATAGGCAAGCATGACTTCAGGTGAGAGAGTGAAGCAGAAAAAGTACAGCAATTCCCCCGTGGCCCGAGACACGTATTAAGGGGGGCTGCAGGGGCGGGGTGAGGCTCCACTCACAATTCCCGGACCACGGGCCCATAGTGACTGGGAAACTTTCAAAACAGTACCCAGACGCGCACTATGGGGCCGGGTAGGCCCAGGGGGGCTATATACTCTTAACCCACACCTGCACTCTACCAGCTGTTCCCAGTTCCGTATTGTTCCACTGTACACAAACCGATCTACACACTGATAAGGCACTCCTTTACTACGAATTGCTTCCTCATGTCTACCGAGACCAGATCCCTCATTTCTCCTTAGTACAACTTACCCCCACCAATAGATGGAGCCTCTCCCCAGGTGCTAGTGGTGTCTGCTCTTATCAGCACCACTAACACCGGTGGGGGTGGTTTAAAAAAAAAAAAAAAAAAAAAAACAACTTACCCCCACATGTCTACTAAAACCACTGCAGTTTTCAGTGCGGCAGCTTCTAAAAAAAAAAAAAAAAAAAAAAAAAGCATACCCCCACATGTCTACCAAAACCGCTGCAGTTTTCAGTGCGGCAGCTTCTGTGGGGGTGTTTAAAATTAAAAAAAAAATAAAAAAATAAAAAACGTACCCCCACATGTCTACCAAAACCGCTGCAGTTTTCAGTGCGGCAGCTTCTGTTACTGCAGTTTCCACTGCTCCAGCTCCATAGCTGGAATTCCCTTTACTCTACCTTTTGCTGCTACAGCTTCCTCTTCCCCAGCTCCAGTGCAAAGAACATCACATTGTGTCCGACAATCTTGTACGCTGTTTCAAAATTTTGCCCAATTCATCCCCTTCTCATCTCTTTCTGTGCTTGGCCACAGACAGCTGTGTCCGTCCTCGACACATCACATTTTGTCCGACAATCACGTACGCCGTTTCAAAATTGTGCTCAATTCACCCCCTTCTCATCTCTTTCTGTGGCTTGGACGCAGACAGCTGTATTCGTCCTCGCCACCCCCATCTCCTCAACGGTCTCCCTTGCGAACAGATTCTCTGGTTCCCATAGTTCCCATTGTTCCTTCTTTGTTGCCAGAGACATTCATCTTCAGTTTGCAACACCACTAGTACTCCTATTGTGTATCATCGATTGCATGTGCCGCATCGTCACTTGTCCAGGGATCAGCAGCCTGTTTCTGCCCTGATTCTCGCTGTGTCTGCTCCACAGGTTGTTGCGGTTCCTCTGTTCCAAATGGCAATATCCACTCCTATGCCTCCTGTAGACAGTCCAGCTGCCTGCAGGCAGCCAAGGGACCATGTTTCATGCCCTTCAGCGTTAGATATTCACGAGTTACCTGTAAACAGGATGCGGACCCCGCCCAGGGTGCACTCCCAATCTCGGGTACAATCCCTGCTCAGGATGCAGCCCCAGACGTCAAGGGATTGGAACATGATTTCCCTGGATTGTAGTTAACCCCACAAAGCGCAGACCACATGGGGGATCCGCAAATGGCTCAGCAACATCGTGTGGATGAACCGTAGACTTGTGCGCTGCCACATGCAGACCATGTGGGTGATCTGCAAATGACTGACCAGCAAACAACCCAAGAGGCTTTGGACCTTGCAACACCATCTGGGTGATCTGCAAATTGTGAGCTAGCATCCGGCACATCAGCCTGAGATCTTTACCAATCTCTGTGGTCTGACTGCAACTAATATTTGTCTTCACATTCTTCATCACCCGTTTCATACACCGTCAGACTTCCCTGCAATTGCCTTTCAGCTTGATGCTGATCTTCCACACCATTGCTGTTCTGCATTTAGCAATGAGGGACCGCCATCTTGAACTACAAGTAGCGATGCTCGAGCAGGTCAGTGGTTTAATGAACTTTAATCCTCCATCCCACATCTCTGCCTGCATTGTGCACGAACCTGGCCATTACACGGCCATTGTACATACCTCGTATCAGTGGGAGTTATGGGACAACGGCATTACGGTCCATGCCGTGACTGATGTTTCTGACTTCTTACATAATGATGCTGTTTTCTTGGCACACCAAGCTGTCCGCAATATTTTTTATGCTGAAGATTCATTCCTCTGGCCCCGTGCTGTAGCAGGACAATGTACGAACGCTCTGCGGCCGTCTCCCTTGCACAACTACGAACACTGTTATACTCGGCTGTAGCCGTCATCGTCTCTGCCACAGTCAGTTGCCAAGCCTCTGCCGGCTTACTTACAGTCGCTAACTAAGGACCTCCGTGAGAGCTGTATGCGAGGAAACTTGCACATACGGTTCGGGAAAGGCTCTCTGATGCCTATCTATGTATGAAGGCGTCAGTTATGCTATTTCACTCAAAGATTTAGTAGGTTGGGTAGCCTGTGCAATATTTTTGTCCATTTTTGTTTTTTATGCACCTAACGTATTGTGACATCCTGACAATTAATTATATACCTGCAAATCCTATGTCAACTGCAGCTCACAGGTTTCTGCACCTATGTGTGTAGAGGACTGTCCCTCCATTCCTGAATTCAGGCACCCTCGCATTCGGACACTATATGTCCATTTCGCGGCCATGGGCGCTAGACTGAACGCATGGTCTTTTGTGGTGACCATTCTTCCTTCATGTTGGCCTGAAATCGACATGCCATTTGTCGGGAGTGTATGGTGGGCATGCTCAAAATGCTCAGCTAGGTCTTCCATGTGTTCATTCACCCCATCATTACAATATATGTCCTCTTTGTCGGCAAGGACAGACTCATTCTTGAGCCTTCTCTTATCCTCTCCTTTGCTTTCATCTTCACTCCACACTCCTTACTTTCCCTTTGTCGTTGCTTGTTTTGTCTTCTGTCCATCTCTCTTCTCTGTGTTTATCCCCTCCCCCTTTACTCTGCCTCTTTCTCACAGCGTACAAGTGGGCCGTTATGGCACACGGGGATCCGGGCAGCTCACACTCAACTTCATCAACATGGCGAGCCTTGTACGTGGGAGGCATGGTGGAGGGGGAGTTAAAAGAAGAAATGAGAAAAATGAATGGCTTCAGTGTGCTCTTATGCTACGTGATACCCTCGGCTGCAGATCTAGCAGCCTCGGCCGCGGCAGAGGAGGCCAGCCGTGACCCCGCGGCTGCACCACGGCCAGGCGGAGCCGCGCGCCGCCTGCTCATGTCGGCCTCTGGCTGTCCCACCAAAAAAATAATAATAATAATGAGAAATGGGGGGGGGGGGG